ATTAAGGATTCTTGCATCCAAGTTCAGCAGAGATATCTGTCTTTATTTTTCTTTCCTTGATATGTTTTTATCTGGCTTTGGTATGAGTATGATACCAGCTTACTGGAATAAATTTGGAAGTGTTCCATCCCTTTTTATTTCTTGAATCAATTTGAAGACCATTAGATAGGGTTAGTTCTCCTTTAAAGATGTGGAAGAATTCATCTGAAAACCCATCTGTTTCTGGGTTTTCCTTTGTTGAAAGCCTTCTTCTTACTGCCTTTATCTCATTACTATTTATTGATTGGCTTGGGTTTTCTATGTCCTCTTGATTTAGTTTTGGTAGATCATATATGTTTAGAAATTTATTCATTTCTTCTAGGTGTTTCAATTTATTGGAGTATACATTCTAAAAATAGTCCTTAGTGATCCTCTGGACTTCCATAATGTCTGTGATGATTTCTATATTTTGTCTCTAATTTTATTAGTTTGGCTTAGGGCTTATCAATCTTGTTTATCTTTTCAAACAGCCAACTCTTTGTTTTGTTGATCCTTTGTGTTACTTTTTTATTTCCTATTTCATTGATTTTGGTTCTGCTCTGAATTATTTCCTTTCTTCTACTGGTATTGAAAATGATTTGTTCTTTTTTAAAGGGCCTTGAGATGTATCATTAAGTTGTTTATTTTGGATTTTTTTCATTTTCTTATGTAAGCCCTCAGTGCTATCAACTTTTCTCTTGGAACTGCCTTCATGGTGTCCCAGAAGTTCTGGTATGTTATAGCATTATTCTCATTTGATTCTAAGAATTTTAAAAAATTCCCCCCTGATTTATTCTGCCACCCATGCACCATTCAAAAGTGTATTTTTCAATCTCTGTATTTATATTATTTTTGTAGGGTTTTTTAGTATTGATCTCTAATTTTTTTTTCCATTATGATTTGATAAGATGCAAGGAATGATATCAGGTTTTAAGAATTTTTATTGTTTGTTTTATTTTTTGGTTATGCTTTTGGTATTTATTTATTTATCTATTGTATTTGCTAAGAGTTACTCTGTGGTGTAAAAAATGTTCTATTTTGAAGAAGGGTCCATGAACCACTGAGAAGAAAGCTGTTTTTGGACAGGTGTCCGTTAAGTTTTTGATTGTTAATATATATATTAGGTCCAAAGAATCTTTACTATCTTTATGTCTGAATAACCCATCCAATGGTGAGAGAGGTGTTGAAGCCACCCAGTATTATTGTATTGGAGTCTATCTCAGGCCTTAATTACATTAGTGCCTCTTTTATGTAATTAATTCCATCCACATTTAGGGCATGAATGTTTACTATATATTCTTGTAAAGTTGTTCACTTATTAGTATAAAGTGACTGTTTTTTGCTCTTTTTTTATTAATTTTGATTTGAAGTCTGGTTTGTCAGATATGAGAGTAGCTACTCCTGCTTATTTTGGGTTTCCATTTGCTTGGTATATCAATTTCTACTCTTTTGCTTTCTGTCTGTGGATGTCTTTGCCTATAAGGTAAATCTCTTGCAAACAACAAATAGTTGGTTCTTATTTTTTTTTCCATTGGATAGTTGAGGTTATTAACATCCAATGTTTTAGAGAAATGTTTATTACTTCTTGCCATTTTGATTTATTTCTAACATCTAATTTGGTCCTATTTCTCATTTGCTTAGCTACTATTCAAATGAGATTTGTTCATTTTGTGAGTTCTAGGGTTTTTTTTTTTTTTTTTAGATTTCTTCTCTGTGAAGTATTTCTTTAAGTTCTGAGATGCTAGCATAGTAGTAAGGTATTCTTCACGTTTCTGCCTATTTTGGAGTTCTTATTTTGGGAATTTCTCCATCCATTATCCATTTTGAAAGATAACTTTTCTTGATATAGTAATCTTGGTTGACAGTTTTTTTTTTTTTGTTTGTTTTGTTTTTTTCAGGACTTGTAACACTTCATTCTAAGCCATTCTGGCTCTTAGAGGTTGTACTGAGAAATCAAAAGTAATTCTGACTGCCTTATATCTAAATATCACCTGATGTTTTTCTCTTGAGGCTATTAAAATTTTATCTTTGTTTTTTATCTTCTGCATTTTAATGTGTTGTGGAGATGTTCTTCTTTGATCTTGTCTATTTGGGATTCTGAATGCTTTCTGTACATGGATGTCCATTTCATTTCCAAGGTTTGGAAATTTTTCTGTTATAATTTCCCTGAAGAGGCTATCCATTCCATTAGCTTGAATCTCACACCCTCCTTAATTCCAATGAATCTTGAATTTGATTAATGTTAATGTTGTCTCAGAGCTTTTGAGTATTCTAGTCATGACTACTTATTTTGTTTTCTTTAATACTGTTTGAATGTTCAAAACTAGTCACTTTTTTTTCCAGGTCTGTGAATCTGTCTTCAGCATGACCTATTCCATTAGGAAGACTTTCAACTGAACATTTTATTGGATTTATTGTGTCTTTCATTTACAAGATTTCCAATTTTTTTTCAATATCTCTATCTTTTCATTGAATTTCTCATTTATATTCTGTACTCATTTTCTTAATTCATCCAATTTTTTTCTGTTCATTCTTGGAATTCATTGATCATTTTTGTAATCTTTTGAATGCTTTATTTGATAGTTCATTCACTTCAATAACTTTGGGGTCAATTGCTGGTTAATTATTAACTTTTGGTGGTGTATGTTACCTTGTTTTTTTCATATTTCTTGTATTCCTGTGTTGGGTTTTATGCATGTTTGGATGTATTTCTTTTCCACTGTTATGTGTGGGCCATTTTAGGGTACAACCTTCCCTTGTCAAAATGTACTAGAGCGATCCAGTTTTAGACCCCTCCTAGTAGGTGTGGTATCCATAGTCATTGTATTAGTTCTCTCTGATTTTGCCATAGCAGTGAATGTCTATAATTGGGATCTCAGGACCCAACCCTAGAAGTTCCTACTTGGGGACTAGTCATTAGTTTGGATTTTTGTCTTTTCTGTTCGTTTTATCAATATGTAGCTGAAGTTGAGTGTCACTAATTGTGTATGGAGCAAGGTGTGCTCTCTTTTGGCTGAGTTTAGTTCAGCAATAGAGTCTCTAGCCTGTGAACTTGTAGAGTCTCTGTAGATTCCCAATACTTCACAGAAAGGAAGAAAATAAACAATAGTAACAATTGGTGTGAATAATATATAACATTAAAACAAATATGCTGTTCCTACTATGACATCAACAACATTAATTTTTACCTCATAAACAGGAGTGGCAGGGTAAACCATTGCCAACAGAAAAAACAAACAAACAAACAAAAAAACCCAGTAAATAACCATGAAGTAGATCTGGCATTAAAGCCAACATCAGATGTCAACTATGTCATTCACAGTGGTAATAGTCACAATGGTGACTATTGAATGTGGGGGCAGGAATTATATAAACCAGTTAATTTTAAAAGATGATAAAAATATAGTTCATTAAGAGAAAGGAAAATTTGAAATAAAGGTGAAGAAAGTTTCTGATGTTAAAAATATGAACAAAGAGAATGCAGAGGAGATGTAGGATGTGATAATTATAAGGCAGGAGAAAAAAATAGGAAAAAAGAAAGTAAAGAGAGAGAAAGGCAAAAAAAGAGAATTTGGCTATTAGCAGCAGAAAAAAAGCACATAAAGAAAAACAAACAAACAACCAAACAAACAGAAAAGCCTCTAATCCTCAAAAATCAAAGCAAGGAATTCTAACTGCATTTAAAATGTTAAAAATGAGAAAACGAAAAATAGAAATAACTATGTATATGTGTACATGTCCATGAATGAATCAGCACAGCAAGAATACACACACACACACACACACACACATTCTTAATTAAAAATGAAAGAATAGTCTGCACTGAGGTTAGTGAGATAGTCAAAACATTTGACAAGAATGGATGGTGACTGTCCACGCCTAGCTGTTTCTATATTTCTTTTTGCACTATATACTGAGGGTTTGGTGAGTTGTTATCCCCTTCCACTTTTTGTTACTCTCTGGGCTTCCAGTTGGAGTGTCCTAAGAGTGAAGCTGATTAAAATAGCTCTCAGCTCATCTTCTCACTAGTATAAGATAGGATGGAATGGGCAATACTGTCAATTGGAGTTTTATCTGCAAAGACCATATTAATGTACTCCCAGGGTGGAGCTGTTGCAGAGTTCTATAAGGGGAATACTTGTGGCTAGGGCTTAGGGGTTAGGTCTAATCAGGCCTTAAGGAACTTTGTTGGATGGTATCTAATCTGGAGAGATGAGATCAATACACCCCTAGTGACAAGCAGATGCTGATCTCTGCTGAGAGTCTGGGTCTCAGGAGACTCTCAAGAATTCTACTCTTGGGCCAGGGGACTCAATCCTCCACACACTTTAAAGCTGCTGAATTTTGTAGGTTGATTTTTGTATTCTACAACCTGACTGAATTTATCAGTCCTAAAAGTTTTCTGGTGAGGAATTTAGGTTTTTCTATATATAAAATCATCATGTCATTTACAAAGAGGAACAACTTGACTTCCTGCTTTCATATTTGAATTTTTATTTCTTTCTCTTTGTCTTTGCCTAAAACTTCCAATACTATATTGAATAAGAGTAGTGAGAATGGATAACCTTGTCAAGTTCCTAATCTTAGAAAAATTGTTTTAGCTTTAACCCATTCAGTATGATGTAGGACATGAGTTTGCCATTTACATCCCTTATTTTGTCATGTACATCCCTTATTCTGTCCATACCTTATTTCTTGAAGGGTATATCATGAAGGGATGTTGAATATTATCAAATTCTTTTTTTGCATCTATTGAGATGATAATATGGTTTTAATTTGGTTTTGATCTTTCCTGTTTTCTATTAATTCTAAGGGTTTTTTTTTTTTTGGGGGGGGGGTTCTAATTCCTTGAGTCACATCATTAGTTCTTTATATGTGTGGGGACAAGTGAATAGAATACTGCATACATGGCATATGTTAAGGGTATCTGAGCGGCAAATCACTCCCCCTTGTGATAGGTGCATGAGTGGCAAACCACTTACCCCGTAGGCACAGCCCTGAGTGTGAGGACACATGTTGCAGTCCCTGCGCTTGCTCCACAGCCTGCTTCTTGAATCATTGCTGCAAGGACAATTAGCAGAAATTGTGTTGGTGGCTGCCTATAATCTGCCTACCTACTGCCCAAGTATATGTACATAGTAACTGTGCAATAAAATCAGACCTGCTTCCTGCTTGGTCTCCAGAGGTCTTGATTAGTGACTCTGTAGCCACACTCTCCTCGACCCTATTCCGTGGACCCCCTTGCTGGATAAGAGAGAGCCTACACATGTATGAAACACATTTTTAAAAATTTTCACACATTTGTACAATTTCCCAAGTTTACTTTGTTGATTTCAAGTTTTATTCCTTTGTGGTCAGAGAAGATACATGCGTAATTCCCATTTCTTGAATTTGTTGATACTTATTTTGTGGTGTGACATATGTCTATCCTAGAAAACATTCTATGTGCTCACAAGAATGTGTTTTATAGCTGTTGGAAGAAGTGTCCCTTAAATGGATGCTTAATTTATTTTTTCCATAGTATAGTTTGACTCTGATGTTACTCAGAGTAACTATTAATCAGTAGTTAACTCTGATATACTCAGCCAGTATATATCTTTTAATTGGGGAATTTAATCCATTTACTTTTAAGGTTATTGTGGATAAATGGACATATTCTTATCATTCTGCTACTTTTTATCTGGTTGTTTTATGTATTCTTAGTTTTTTTCTTCTGCTTTTGTTATTCATCTTTGCGGTTTGGTGATTTTCTATACCAGTAGGATTCTCTATGTTTCTCTTTTGCTTTACCATTGACTTGTATACTGTTGTGTGTTTTCATGATGATAGTTATCATCCTTTTGCTTCTAGTGTAGGAGTCCCCTATGTGTTTCCTAGAGGGTTAGTCTGTTGGTGATAAATTTACATGGTTTTAGTTTTTGTCTTAGAAAATCATTATTTCTTACTCATTTCTAAAGGATAACTTCACTGGCCACAGTTTTCTCTGTTGGCATTTTTTTTCCTTTTGGGACTTCAAATATATCTTCCCATATTCTATGGCCTGTAAGATTTCTCCTGAGAAGTTTGCTATTAGTCTAATGAGGATAACTTTACACCTTACTTAGCACTTTCTTTTCTCTGTTTTGTATCTTTTTGGTTTGACTACAAGATTCAGAGAAAATGGGTTTTGGTTGAATTTATTAAGGTCATTTGAGCTTCATGAACCTCAATGTCCAAATCGTTCCCCAAGATTTGGAAAGTGCATAGCAATTACGTTGCGAAAAAGGTTTTCTATGCCTTTTACCTTTTCATCTCCTTCTGTACATTCATGAGAGCTTTTGTTCACTTAATGGTGTCCCATAAGTCTCAGTGTCTTACTTCATTTTTAAAATTTTTCTTTTTCTCTTAAAGAATTACTTAAAGTGCAGAAATTCTTCTTCTAATCAGTTGTTATTATGGTTCTCAACTGTGCTCTTTATTTTATTTATTGAGCTCTTCAGTTCTAAGATTTCAGGTTTGTTACATTTTATTATTTCTATTGCTTTTCTTAATTTCGCATTCACCTCATGAATTGATTTTTTTATTTCATTGAATTGTCTTGTGTCATAAAAATCAGTTTTTAATTTTTTTAGACAATTCATCAGTTTCTTTTTATTTGGGACCTATTACTACAAAATTAATGTTTTCCTTTAGTACTTTCTGTTTTTTGTGCTTCTTGTGTCCCTGTGTTAGCATTTGTGTGTGGTACAAATCAATTTTGTAGGTTGTTTTTATAGTAAAACCAGCAAAAATAAAACCAAAGAAACAAAACAAAGCACTTTTTCCTGGTATGTCCTAGAATGTTGGTTGAATAGAATGCATTGATTTTTGTTCCAGGTGGGCACTCCAGCATAATTTCTATGTAGTTTCTTCATTTGTAATCAACACTGGGGATGTCTGCAGGTATCTCAGTGACCTAGGGTATATGGGTTGTGATATTGCACTACTAGCTGGGATACAGCTCCCCTAGATGGAACAGATTATTAGAAGCTTGGAGCATGGTACATGCAACTATGGGGAATGGGTACCTGTCAGTTTCCATGGGTTGTATGAGGGCAGGGCCATCCTTTAGGTTTCATGGGTGTGGCACAATATGCCTGATGGGATACATGTCAATATCTGTATGTTACACAGGTGTTGGGATGCATCAGTGGGCCCAGATATGACATCTGTAATTGTCTGACGGCTGAATTGGTAATGTTTGAAGTTCTCTGGGAACCAAACTATTCAGAGAGGTCTGCCCATCTGCTTTTTGGGGCCGGAGGGTGAAAATGAGTTTCAATTCTCAGAACCTCAGTGGGGTAACTTATGAAAATGGTCTGCTTATCTACTTCTTAGGACCACAGGAGAATGGGCTGCCTGGTTGCTTCCTGGAGGCCTAGTTTTGCTGATCTGTTCAGGAAAGGCTGCTTGGCAACTTCCTGAAGTCATAATGAGTGAACAGGGCCACTCATCTGCTCAATGGGTCCCAAGTGGGACTCATGGTGGGCTACCTATTTATATTATGTAGTGGAGAGGGTGAGGTCTGAATGGCTGCCTGGCTACTTAGTGCAGTGTAAGAGTGGGCAGGAGTTCTTTGCTGGTTCATAGGGTTTGGTCTATGGAGCTGCTGGAGGCAGCTCTTTGTCTGATTCACAGAAATTCATCTGAATAGAGTCCCACGATGACTCTATGCAGCAAGAGTCTATGTTGGAGAAAGCACAATATGATTATGGGATCTTTCTCTGAGGAAACACATCAGTGTAGTAACCTGGCTGTGCCCCAAACTGGGCTCAGGGCCTGGGGGTACCACAGGTATCTCCAGTTAATAAATACCTCAGGTGTTCTGCTGTATGAGTAGGGACTACCAAATGCCTCCAGCTTTATCTTTCCTCACTGAGAGAAGTCCTCTTTGTTCAGGATTGATCTCAAACTATTCTGATTTTTCACATCAAGCCCAGTATCTGGTATTAGTGGGTATTCAGTAAATATCTGAATAATTAAATAAGAAAATAAAATAAAATTTGAAAGGCAATTTGAAAAATCCAGAATCATGATCAAAGCAAACAAGAAAGAAAAAGGAACTGATTTATTCTAAAAAGGTTTAATCATATAGATTCTCTGACTTTTGTTGTGATCTTTTTAAAAAAAAATCCCACTATTATAACATATCCCTTAATATGTAAATTAAATCTTTGGTTTCATAGTTTGAGATCATTTCTTCCTTTCTACCCACTCAGTTTCAGATCTGTATACCTAAACTTGCATAATGGATCGTGGGAAAGCCTGAGGCTGGCCAGGTGAGGAGTTATGAGGTGCGTATCAGTTAGTTTTCATTGTTGTGATCATAGTACCTGAAAGTAACAGCTTAGAGGAGGAAAAGTTCAGTTTTGTCTCATGGTTTCAAAGGTTCAGTCCATGGTCAGTCAACTCTGCCAGGGACAAGGTATAGTTCCCAAAGTCATGCTTCCCTCTGCCCACCCCGGACTTTCTTTCTTCAACCTTGTCCCACCTGCCAGTAGACCAGTCCAATTATTAATCCATTAAATGGTTTAATCCACTGATGAGGTCAGAACCCATATAACTCAAACATTTCCCAAAAGCCTCACTTCTGGATCTTACTGTGTTGGAGACCAAACCTTTATATGCATGACCCATTTGAAGACATTCCAGATCCAAACCATAATGATGTCTGGAAAAATTCAATTCAGTCATATGGTAAAACTTTCAAAAACTTCTTGTACCTGGTGATAAGCACTAGCTAGAATGTCAAGAAGAGCTACAAATAACCAAAGGTTACAAAACTTTTGAGAATAACACATTGAAGTTGTTTGAAGAATGTGATAGAATCCATACTCAAATTAGAAAGTATCCCATAATAGCAAATGGGCACCATCAGGACTTACAGGCACTTTGGGGCTTGTCTTGCCTCTCTGATCTGGCGTGTTAAGGTGTTACCTGACTTGGATAGTTGTCTATGTATGGTAAATTATGTTATCTCTTAACTGCTGAAGGATACTTAGATCCTTTGCCTGTATGTGCTGATCCCTGACAATCTGATAGTCATCACATTTTTGACAACCTACAAGTAAGTACAACTACATGCATTCCTACAAGTAAGAACCTCTCAGATATTTGAAGACCATTCTACCTTTCAGCTACCTTTCCTCTGGATAGATATCTTTTCTTAAGGAGTTATATTTTAAATCATTTAATCATCATTGATTCTGCATTTCTGCCACTAAAATGTTTAAGCTTGTAGAAAATTTTTGAAACATTTTTCTTAATATTTTAAACACTGATGTTTTCTTATTTCATACTGTAATACAGAAAGTGCATAATTTTTATCATCAGAAAGACTTGTGTCCAGATCTAAGTTTTGCCATATACTCTGGATTCAATGGGGATTATTTAACTATGGAGCCTAACTCTTGAAATAAAATCATAGTTAATTACAAAGAAAATCTTATGTGCAATTATGAACATTATTATAGTAATGTGAAATATATTAAGAAACAGACCTGATGCCTAAGAAGCATTAGATAAAAGTAAATTAATTTGCCTTTTGTTGACCAATTTATTGATCAATACATGATTTTTTGGGGGGAAGGGGTACTGGAGATTGAACCCAGGGGTACTTAATCACTGACCCAAATCCCCAGTCCTATTTTTTATTTTTATTTTTCTTGATACAGTGTCTCATTAAGTTACTTTCATTAAGTTTCTGAGGCTGTCTTCAAACTTGTGATCCTCCTACCTCAGCTTCCCAAATCTCCAGGATTACAGGTGTGTGCCACCATGCCTGGCAGTACATGATGATCCTTAGTGTCTCAAATTCATGAAAATAATTTATTTTTATATATTTACCATATGATTTATTAATTAATGATATAAGTAAGACATAATGATTTACCTCAGGAGAATGACCTTATTGAAAAATAAAAACCCTACCACTCTCTTTCCATTTATGACAGTTTAGATAAACTATAATATATTTCCCAGAATTCTCTTCCCTGTAGAGTTCCAGTTTAAGTTTGGCCACTGGAACAT